GTCCACAAACAATACGGCCTGATGGGTAATTAACCCCGCAAGGCTCGGCCACTCAGGTGTTAAACTGAAGTCTGAACAGAACCTTCCAGCACTTTGATTCTGGTCAGTGTGTCCAGATCTTATCATGGCTTCAAGGTCTTATTCATCCTGAAGGCCCTATCCTTGGGCTACAAGACAGGGAAGCTGGAAGTTTAAGGAAGGAAGAGAAACACAGCCGCACAGACGTGAAAATTCATAAAACACGTTCCCAATGGTTAGTCTTGAGCTCAAACCGCTTATCAAAGAAAGGATCTCAGGTATTTTTTTAAAAAAATACCTGGGCCAGATGAGTGAGGGCCGCGCCCCCCTTGGAGTGTGTGGGACTCAGTGAGGGGGATGTCCACGAAGTCTCTAACCTGAGGGGCTTACAGTGAAGAGGATTCCAGGCTCACCTTCCGTTGAGGGTTCGTTTCCTTAACCTTTCATTTTGAAATAATTTCAGACTCATTAAAAAGCTGCAGGAACACTACAAGAACTACTACGGACTCAGACATCAATTCCCAAATGTGACACCTCACACAAGAGGCCGTGGTGGCCCAGCGATTAAACATTTGGCTGCCAACTGAAAGATCGGTGGTTTGAACCCACTGAGCAGCTCCATGGCAGAAAGACCAGGTGATCCATTACCATGGAGACTGACAGTCTTGGAGACCCTGTGTGCAGTTCCACTCTGTCCTCTAGGGGCGCTGTGGGTCAGAATGGACTCCACGGCAGTGGGTGTGGTTTGGGCTTTGTTTCCGTGAAGATTGACAGCCTTGGAGACTCTGTGGGCAGTTCCACTCTGTCCATGGGTTTGCTATGAGTCAGAATCGACCCAATGTCGCCTAACAGCATTGCCTTCCTTAACTATCGTGGCACAATTATCAAATCACAAAACTAACGCAGAAACAACCCATTTTTTTAATCTATAGGCCTTTTTTAGAAGTCACCAAGTACACCCTCAGGCCTGCTGCAGCCCAGCATCCAATCTAGGGCCGCTTCTCACCGAGGTACCTCATCTCCTTCATCTCCTGGAACCTGGACCAGGTCCTCAGGTGGTTTTCTTCTATGACCTGGACACCTTCAAAGCACAATGACCAGTGCTTCCCTACAAAGCCCCTTTCTTTAGGTCTGCACGTGCATTTTGGCACCAACCCCCCAGAAGTGTGACAGTGTGTCCTCAGTCATATCAGAAGCCGTGATGTGCATTCACCCACTTCTGTGAAGGTCCCTTTGATCACTCCGTGACGGTGGTACCTGCAGGTCTTTCCATCATAAAGCTACCATTGATCCCACCGTAGTTAGTGGGTATTGCAT